GAGGAGGAAGAGGAGGAGCGAACGTCGCTCCAGAGGAAGAGTCGCCTACCTACCCGTGCGTGCACGTGCAGTACCAGGGCAACAAAGCAAGTACTGTGGCCCAGAACCAGGATGCGCTGAAGTGATAGCGTGCCACTGGTGCGTCAGGCTAAGCCTCAAGACCGACCAAACGAGCGAGTCATCGGGGGTCGAGGCGTGGTCCCATTGGGACCCAAAACAGAGCTTCAATAATACAGAGTTAGAACAAAAAACCCTAGGCAAACAGGCGACCCACCACGGGCGCCGACACCTCAAATATTGTGACAGATTGTCAGATCCATTCTCACAGCCAAGCTTACAGGGGGCCGAGCGACTATTAGTGACATGCATTCTGGCCACTGTGGGCCATGCACCGCGCATTACTTTGATCACCGCCCACCTCACCCCCATCCCTTTATTGCGAAGGACGCACTTAAGCGCCTCCCATCTCTGCGCCAACACACATGTGGCGGGCGCAAGGGCGTGCCACGCAGCCGACCTTTTCTTCCTCTCACGATGGAGCTGCGCCAGCCAAGCAGCCTCCGTTGCCAACGTCCGCCTCTTCGCGGCGCGCAGACAGGCCACCGTCCGATGCCCGTTCCTGGGCCTGCTGGTCAGCGCGCAGCTCAGCAGGGCGTCCCTGAGGTGGCGAGCAGACCCTCGACGATCCTGCCACCACGACGAGGTGAAGAGGTCCGTCGGCAGGTCCGCCATCCTGCCCAGCGCCACGCCCCACACGTCGTAGACGAAGCTCTCAACGCCCTCGAGGAAGGCGAGCCACTCTCTCGGCAGCTTGCTCGCCGCCCTCATCCACGCCGTCATCGCCGAAACGAAGAGGGAGAGCGGCGCCGTGGCGCCCGAGGAGGGGCCCAGCGACAGGAGGTAGTCCTTCCTGTCCGACTTCGCCGGCACGCACAGCGGCACGCGCAGCAGGTCCCGCTCCTTGCCCCCGCGCACGTCGGGGATCGGGGTCATCATGGCCACGTCTAGCAGGCACGGGATCTCCAGCCCCTTGTACGCATGTGCCACTGCATCGTTGCACAGGGCGCTGGCTCCAAGCGCTCTCATCCTCGCCGCATACTTGGACAAAGAGTCGTGCCACAGTCTGGCGAGGTCTGCGTCTGGCACCAGCCAGCAGCCCAGGTACTTCGTCATGGAGTCGACCGAGAAGCCCGACCAGCCAGCAGTGCTCACCACGAACACGCTCTTCACGAAGATCATGCTCGCCTCCGAGATCGGCGCCCACAGCGGCACCAGGAAGCACTTGGCCAAGTTGTGCTCCAGGCACGTTAGCGTCTGCCTGTCATGTCCAGGGGCCACATCGCGACCCCGCTGAGCTTCCCGTAGTAGATCCTCCTTACTGTAGGCAAAGTCCTCGCGCGTGCTGGCGGGCGCGGGCCATCGCCCGATGCACTCCCTGGCCGCCACCTCGTCGATATCTTTCTTCCTGAAGATGTGGCCCCAGTACTCACGCACTGCAGCCAGCATAGCGTCAGCGTTCTTCATCGTGACATCGAATGGCCGCACGGAGACGCTCTCCAGCGCAGGTGGTGCAGGGAGCTCTTCCGTTACCCGCACCTTGACGCCGCTCAGCTGCCAGACGGGCAGCTTGCGGAGCCACAGCTGGGCCTTCTTCACTATGTTGCCCTGCTTCCGCTTCCAGTACTCGCCCTCCAGCGCCTGCACCGTCGCACAGGCGCGACGGACCCGTCTCGCAGCGTCCTTACGCCGCACATCCAGCATACGTTCCATGGTGGAGCATACGACTTCCCCGAAAACCAGAGTGTCGTTCGCCAGCACCTTGCCATCTTGAATGCGCAGGTGCCTCCGAGCCAAAGGAGAGAACTTGATCAGCAAGGGCGCCGTGGTGCCATCGTTCGACCAGACCGTCTTGGCCACCGAGCGCGTCACCAGGGCGAAGAGCTCCGCGCCCTGCGAGACGTTCTGCAGTTCGGCGAGCGCAATCATGCGGCCCCTCGTGGCCTTCGCCGCTGAGACCAGGGGCCGCTTGGCAGCAGCCCACTTCTCTTGAACGTCTCCGTCAGTTCCCCGCCTACGAGGCAAATCCGTCGGCATGCGATAGTAGCGTCGATCCCCCACTGGGAGGGTGAAGTCGCCGCCCACATCGCAGAACTCCTGCATCGGGGACCTGCGCACCTCCCTCATTGCCCTCCGCCAGGTTGTCGCCACTCTCGACTTGTCCTCCCCGCTGCGATCGCGGTTGTGCACGTTGATGAGAGTGACCCCGACACGGCACTCTTCAGCCTCTGCAGGCAAGTGTGTGACCGAGTCGGGCTTCCACGCCATCACCCAGACCTTCATCATTAATACTCGCTCAGGGCCCAGCTCCGAGGTCGTCGAATCTGGGTGCCACGAGGGGTGCATCTCCTCCCCGTCATACTGCTCCAATGATGGGATCAGCATGGCCACACCTCCGCCACACCCCTCGCGAAGCGCAGAGAAGTGGAACTTGCAGGGGTACGACTGCGAGCGCACGGACGCCTCCAAAATGCCCACCGCGTCATGCGTCTCCTGCATCATGATTACATACTTCTTTGCCATATACGACCTCAAGGTTGCAAGCTTGCATCGCCTACGAAGAGGATCCCGTAGAAGCAACCCACGCGCATCCCACGAGATGACCTTCAGGGAGCTATTGAATACCTCCTTGTAGTGGTACTGCCACAGGCGCCACCGCGCCGAGCGAGCGTTAGGGGCACCACTGTACCTCTCTGGAGCCACTGCCGACCATGCGATTGAACACCTCCTGCACCTTGCTTTTGTCGATGCCCAGGTTCGCCACCATCGGATTGTTCCAGCGCAGCTCCGTCGGGGCATCCTCCTCCGTGACCAGGACACTGGCCACCTCCACATTGTCAAACTTGACCTCCCCCTTCGCTTTGTTCGGCCACCAGCGCCCAGCTCCTCCACGCACTTCCTCCAGAGCTTGGCCAAGGCGCTTGGTGTGGAGCTCCACCCGCAAAGACCGCTTGGACTTGTCCGCGTTGATGTACATCTTGCGGCCACCTGCCGTGAAGCTCCTCCACCCACCCGGCATGCGGAGGTGCGTGACCAACCTCTTGGCGCGCTCGTAGCCCACCACCCCGCCCGTGAGCTCCAGCACGAAGTGTTTCCCAGACGGGAGGGAGTGCAGCGAGTACTGACCGCTCGACACCGTGGCAGCCTTGAACCATTCCTCGAGGCCGCCGATAATCTCCGCGCTCGTGACACCCGTCTCGACCTGGATTTGGAAGAGGTTCGGCGCGGCGGGTCTGTCCCACATCTCCTGCCTAGCTGCCTGAAAGAGTGGGACCTGGTTCTCCGCGCGCTCCAGGGCCTCCGAGATGCTCTGGACCGCTGCGCGCAGCTCCTCGTTCGACGCTTCGAGCCTGTGCTGCCGATCTCGCATGCGAGCAACATCCGCATCGACCACCGCGAACCGTGCCGAGCACTCCTGGGCGTGGGCGGCAACGACCGTGGCCATCTGGGTCTGGGCCGCCGACGTCGTTGCGTAGAGATTGGCAGTCGCCTCGGCCAGGATCCGCTCCAACTCCTGCGCGACGCTGGCGGGCAGCCCTGCAGCAGAAGCCAGTGCCGGAGCTCCTCCCCCCGACGGCGCGGCCGCGACAGGAGCAGCAGCATCTGCTCCAGGTGGGTGCGCCCCCTCCGTGCAGCTCCTGCCTCCACGTCCACCACCATGACGCCAGGGGTCCCGCTCTTGTAGATGATCACGCCCGCGATCACGCTCTCTATGCTGTCTTCGACGGCGCCGACGAGCACCTTCTCCACTGCGGGAGGCAGACCGCTCGCCGTCTGATGCATCGCTCCGACTCGAGGATCTGTTGCTGCCCCCAGTACGCCCAGCAGCGCCAGCAGCACAGCCGTCGCCACCCTGCGTGCCCTCCCGCACAGGGCCCATGGCTTTGAGTCTGGATGCGCTCGGGCCGGCAGGAACGGGAAAGGCCTCCGTTTACCCACCGACCCGAGCGCTGGTGTGGAGAACCAGAGAAGATGCCAGACCTCAGGAAGTCTTGCCAGCCGCGGACTAGCGGTATCCGCGTGTTCCCCTGAGGAACTCATCATCTTGAGCCAAAATGGCTACGGAGGAGGAAGAGGAGGAGGAGGAGGAGGAGGAAGAGGGCGACGACGACGACGACGACGACGACGACGAAATGTATGATCACAGGGGTGGCGACCATATATATATATATAGAGAGAGATATGTATACATACATACATACATACATACATACATACATACATACATACATACATACATGCATGCATGCATACATACATACATGCATGCATGCATGCATGCATACATACATACATACATACATACATGCATACACACATACACACATACACACATACACACATACATACATACATACATACATACATCCATACATCCATACATCCATACATCCATACATACGTACATACATACATACATACATACATACATACATATATACATACATACATAAACACATATACGTATAGATATGTATGTAGACACGCATTATAGACCGAGAAAGAACAAAAAGGTGAGGGATGTGGGGAAACCAAAGAGGGGGAGGAAAGGAAAAAGAGGAGGGTGAAGAGCGGGACGGAGGATGGGAAAGACCGGGGGGGAAAAGGCGCGCATGCGGACGGCGCGGGCGGGGCGGGGGCGGGGGGGGAGGGGGCGCTTGGGAGCGGCAGCCCACGAAGGACGCAGTCGAAACTTCGACGGGAGAGGGGAACGGGTTGGAAGAGGGCGGGGAGGGAATGAGAGGGAGAAAGGTGACAGTGAGGACGGGAAGGGGAAGAGGGGGGGGAAGAGAGAGGCGCGCTGGTGGCCGCGGGGCGCGGGGTAGCCATTCGGTGGGGTGGGGCATGTTCCGAAGGACATTATCGAGACTTCGACGGGAAACAATGGACGGGGAAGGCGAGAAGGGGACGAGGAGAAGAAACGATTTCTGGCCCAGGTCGTCCTCGTCGCCGCCGGCTGCCGAGGAGTAGTAGTCGCCAAGCAGTCTCATCACCCGCTCGCGCGCCTCACGAGAGGGATGGCGAGGAGGACGAGCAGGGGGAAATGGGGAGGAGGAAAAAGAATATGAGGAAGAAAAAGGGGGGAGGGGGAGAAGGCGACGGATAATTTTTGAGAAAAGGGGAAAACGGCGGGGGGCCGGAGTTGGAAGGGGGGCAGGGCAGGTGGAAAATGAGGGCGGGGGAGAAAGAGAAGCACGAAGAGCACGAAAAGGAAGAAGAGGAACACGAGGGTGTTTGAGCTCGGGCGGCAAACAAGCGTCTGACACAAGACATTGGTCGCAACCCGCGCACGGGCCCATCCCACAGCCTGCCCACGGGTGGTATCGCCTTGGTCGCGGAGGCACCGCAAAGCGGGACTCTTCCCCCACTCAGCCATGCTACGCATTCCCGGGGGCAGCACCAGCGTGGTGAGGTACCCCAGTCGGGACTCCTCCACAGCATTTTACCAGTTCTCCGTGAAGAGGGGAGCTTTCGTAGCCCAAGTGGTCGGCAAAATGTGCGCTTGTTCCTGATGCTGTCAATTCTCTTGTTCTCCCTGAAACAATCTCTTGCTCAGGTTCAAGTGGTGGACTGGTGACGTACTTCTTCTAGCCATGGCAAGATATGTGACATTGTGCCGTTTCGTTTTGTTCCGTGCAAGAGGGCCGGCCAGACGGCGGACGCGCGGGCGGGCGGGCGAACCCCCTTTTTCGCCAAAATGCTGCCAGGACAGCTGCGAGCATGCACGCGCTCATGTCTCTGAGGCATAGCAGGGGCGCGGCTAAATCAGCCCCCCCGCGGCCTCCCTGGCGAGCCCCACTCGCGCGGGTGAGCGCCAACGATTTGTCAACGCCCCTAAGTTGTTCGTAAAGCGGCCCGCCGCGCCGCCCCCGGCAGGCAGCACTCCCGCCACCTGGCTCACAGCACTCTGGGACAGCCAGCGCACAGCAAATCAGTGCCAGGCGGATCACTTCATGCATTGTGGACGCACTGGAACCGTAATTGTTCGCCTCGAGGTACCTGCGGCATAGCCGCGTTTCCCTCGCCGTTCTCTTCCTCTCACCTCCAACTGTGGTCGTCGCAGCTGTTGCCGCCGTGCCAGTTGCCTGAGCCCCAGCTCCAAGCCCACCACCTGTTCCTGGAACTACCCTGCCACGGAGGAGAAGAATCCGAATTATGCTGCTCATTGTCCGTGCACGCACTCCGCGGGCGGGCGTCCTCCGCGCGGCGCCGCGAGGTACTTGCCTCAATGCGCCAGGGCGCGTCCAGCCCGAAATCTGCGGCCGCGGGCGGTCGCGCGGCCGTGGCGGAACCCGAAGAGGCGGCCCCCGCGCGGTAGGACGTGTCCCACTGGGTAGGGTTCTCAGCTCGGCGTCGCCTGGATTCCTGTTGACCATCTGGCGCGCGACTGCTTGGGCTCTCGGCCCCCTTGCCGTCGTTCTCGCTCTCTTTGCCCTTGCCCCTGGCGTCGTCCGACATTCTTGCTGCCGTAACGCGGCCCTCAGGCCTCATAGAATTCGGCCTCCTTGCTCCTTTAACGGATGGCTCCTGAGAGGAGGCGCTGGCTCCGACGTAGTCGGTTGGTGTCCGCGCCCTTGCCTCACGCGCCTTCGGCCTTGGTGCCCCCGGGATTTCCGCCTGCAGCCTGTGATCCTCTATTTCCTTTTCCGTGGCGGTTTTCAATTGACTGAGCGGTTCGACTTCGTTGGCCTCCGGGGGCAGTGCGCACCGCGCGGACCATCCTACGCTGGATTCGTCACATTGGCGTTCCTCTGGATGGTCGCAGCCCCAGTCAAAGGGTCACAATGCGGCATAGGCTTCCCCTCTCAACATCCCCCTGCTGATGCACGGCCACCGCGCCCATGGAGGAACGACCGCATTCTCCCCAGTGGCAGGCGTCTTGAGGCGCGCGCTCTGAAACTTACCCCACCTGCGAGCGAGCCTCTTTGCCTTGTCAGGCCTTTAAGAATTCTGCGGCATGGGTAGCTCGTCATCTGGGGGCGTAGGCAGCCAGGCAAATATTTTCACGATGTTGCCGTGTAGCGCGGTCTTTCCCAGCAGTGCATTTTCTCTGCGAGCGGCTGCGCCCCCGGCGCTGGTGCCCTTCCACCTGTGCTGTGATATTGCCTGCGCGCGATCAGTATCAGAGTCCAGGGGCAAGGCCCTCTCTATCCCTTTGGCCAAACCGATTTCACGGTAGTCAATATTCGGCCTGGTTGTGTCGGTCTCAGTGATGATGGCGCCCTGCTGCACAGGTGCCCCACATGCAAGGCAACTCAGCGTCCCCGACCGATTGCGGCAATCGCTGCCGCGCAGAAGGTAGCCATCTTCAAATGGATTCGGCGCGCATAGCGCAATCTTGATCTCAATGGAAACGAGCGCATCATCATCGTCTTCGGCGGGTACCCGCACTTGGACTTGGTGCTGTTTAGTACAGCCTATGCAAGCCGCGTCGAAGTCGGGGCAAGCGTTGAGCGCAGCGCACCGACGGTCATATACCAATGTCCACGATGCCCGAATGCGCTGCATCCCCGACACGGCAAGACGCGCGATCGGATGAACGTCGCTCCATGTGGGACGGAATGAGAACGCCAGCGAGCAGTCGCGTTGAATCCAGATGTCTTGGTTCTCGAAGATGCGGGGATCTGGCATCCCAAGCCTGGCTAGCCACAACTCGGGCCCAACCTCCAGGTCCAAGCCGCGTCGGTAGCTCCCCTCGAATCTCGCCGCACTCACCTTCCCGCGCTTTCTGGGCCAACCTGACTGCCCCATCAGACCCCCGCTCTCGGTCTTTAGCGACTGGGCCCGTCGGGGCGGCGCACGGTTCAAGCTGGTTTGGTAGACAAATCAGAAAACGGCGCTGCCGAACGCCCTGGGGGCACCTCTGCGGTGATGCGGTCATAGACCTTTTCATCGAGGCATCGCCCAATGGGATGACAATTGCCTGATGTGAGTATCTCGCTGCCGCGTCATGCCTGATGCACGCGCGCTTCGGGTCGGCGACTCGGGCCGCATGGCCCTTGCAGGCGAGGAACGGGCATCATCGCGGGTACGTTTCTGTCGACATTATCGTCCTCAGTGGGTTTGCGCCCGAAACTGCCGCCCCAATCTTCTGGCTGGGCAGTTGGGCCGTCGTCGGCGCTCGTCACGCTCGCGTCGAGAATCTGGGCAGTATTGCGAGGCAGTTGAGCGAGGGCGCGCACGAAGCGTGCCCGAGCTCTGCGTCGCCCACTATATCCAACATCTTGACAATAAGGGACGCCTCAACCCACCCCCCTGAACTACGGACTTGGGCTGCACTGTGCATCGCTAGATTGACTATAAGCGAGCCCAGTCGCCCAGCTACTTCCGCGCCCATGCCCGAGCACCGCGCAACCGCGCACAGTTCACAGGCCAGGTTCATCCGGATGAAGCGAAACTCGGGCGGCGGGAGGCAGTGGCCCGACCTCGCTGTAGCGGGCGCGCTAGAACCGGCGCGCCCTTGCCCCGACCTCACCGGACAGGCGTCGCAAGAACTCAAGCAGCGGATCCCCCGCAAATTAACGCGCCCACTCCATCGTGCGCTTCTGGAAGCCAATGCTTCTCTTCTCTCTGTCCGCGAAGGGCCCAGGGCCGGCGTCACTGTGCTCCTCCAGCTGCCGAGCCAGCTCACTTGGAACGGCGGACAATGCTGGGTCGTCGTCCTCCTCGGTGAGCGGGCCACCGTATTCGTCCTTCTCCGCGTGCTCAAGCCCGGGGTGAGCCCCCCCCCCCCTGTCATTTCTTCGCTTGCACCCATGCATCTAAAACTGCTCCTTCTCCGGCGGGGCCTGTGCCCCTCCGAGGCAGAAGAACTTCGACATGAATGCGTGAGGAAGCTTGTCTGAGATCATGTCAAGGGGAATTGTCTCGGACCCTCGTTGAGGCATTGCCTCGGCCTGCTTTTCCGCGCATTCAATTTTTTTCCCCCGGTGTCATCCGACTTCTCGCCTGCCGCATCCTCCAGGGCCTGGGGCATCACCTGGGGCCGGCGCCCAGTATCGCCAGGCGGCGTAGGCGGAGGACTCTCTTCGTCGGAGGCATCCAAAGTGACCAAATTCTGCCCCCTTTGGACGGGGGGCTGCGCATGCTCGGGTTTCGTGCCATCTAGAGGTTCTTGGCACTGCCCAGGTGTCGCCGCTTCTGAGGGCAGTGGGGCCGGCGGGGAGGCTGCGGCATAGCCGTGCGCCCCCTTCCACCATGCTCGCGGCGGATGGCCGTCCTCTCTCATTATGGGCAGGGTCCGAGCCAACTGACAGCGCCGTCGGGCTGTCGACGTCTTCGCTCGATTCCGCCGCCCCTTCATGCATCCCGGACTGACGCAGACACTCAAGAAGCATCTTCTCATGCGCCAGGACCTCGTCGGGGGCATTGTGTCTGCTAGCGTCGGCACCATGGGAATGCACACGCTGACGAGGAGTACATAGGTCAATGTGCAGAGCGGCATTGGGTTGATCGCAATAGTCGCACGACTCCACCGGCCCGCGTTCCAAACCCAGCCAGAGCACCGTCGCGCGCCAGCGCGCAACACATGCGCGGCCTAAGCTCAATCCCAGGAAGAGGCAGCCGGGCGCACCCTAACCCAGAGGCAGGTGGCAATGCGGCGGAAGTTGCACCCATCGTCCGGCTGGACACGCAGCCCGCCGGGCCCGCGCAGCTCGACGGGGCACCCCAAGCCCCCGCTCTTCCCAGGAAGCCCTAGCGCCTGCCCAGCCGACCCGAGGCCCCAACGCAAACATGGAAAACGCCGAAATAGAGGTTGACTTTTCGCCAGACCTACGCGACGGCAGCCCGCGAGGCGCGGGCCCCCCGGACAACGGCAGCCGGCCAGGCTGCGGCGCGGGGCCCCATGCCACGACCCCGCGCAGGCGACGACAGGCAATGCTGACCCGGCGGAGGCGGCGCACGCCTCCTCTCATCCCCCGCAGGAGGACCGGCCCCCGCCGAGCAAGTGAGCAACAGACGCTGGCGCGGACCGACCTCGCCCCAGCGATCGCCGCAGCGCCAGCCCACCGGACAACCCGAGCACGGCGGCTGAACCCAGTAACGGACGGGCTCAGAAGTCCCCCAGGACCAAAAGCGCGAGAACACCCCGGTCACCCCCCCCAGCCCCCGGACTACTCGCGGGAGCACCCGGGCCAACTGGCAAAGGCCGGGGGTCTCCTCCTCAACCGTTGGCCCTGCCCACGCCGCCCCCGAAGCGCCAAAGGGGGGGGCCGGGCGCCGCGCGCCGACCGCGGCTATGTCGACGAGGCCCCGCTGGATGATCACCCGGCAACAAACCTGGAACTACCGAACGGGCACCTGGAGGGGGGAGGAGGAGGAGGATGAGGAGGAGGAGGAGGAGGAGGAGGGCGAAGAAATTGGATGGGACTAGCTTCAGACGACACTCCCCCCCGGCGACCCCCGAATGCGCCGACGGACAGGCCCCCTGCAGGAGAAGAAGCCAGCGAGATGAGCAGAAGTAGCGAAGAAAACACAATCAAAAGGAGAGCCGAGTGCCGGGATACCACCTGGCCTGAGGCGGTCTGGCCAGCTGAAGCGGGAGTGCGGGCCCTTCCCCGTCGAAGTATGGAAAGTTCTCTACGACCAGAGGGATGGCAAAGGCGGTGGGGAAGGGACGCACAAACCCGCTGGGCACGATGACTGCTGCAGGACGTTCGTCGATGACCTCTGGCGTTACTACCCCTACTACGACGTCCGTCGGGCTTGTTGGTTGAAGGGAGTTCATGTGAACGCCAGCGCGACGAGCACGGGCGCGACAAGGGGCGCGGCAGAGGGAAAGGCAGCGGACCGCCAGGAAAAGGCAAGCGGCAGGCCAACCCAACCTGGCCCAACAACGACCCGTCGAGGCCGCGCCTCCCAGACCTGCCAGGCCTCTAAAACGCCCGCCCTGGCACCGCTCCAGGCGCCGGGTGGCCGCGCACAGCGACGGCCCGCGCGAGAAGTGCGCGCTACTTCGGCCGCGCGAACGGACGAGCCCCGTCACCCCGCTGCGCGCCGCCTGCCCAGGCAATGCACAACCCCAGCACCCAGTGAAGTTGCACTTGGGCGGTATGCCCGGCATTGCCGTGGTTCGTCCTCCCTGGACGGTGCGTGGCCCATTACCACAGGAAGCTGCACGCTGCCCTCCCTGGGCAGCGCGTGGCGCCGCGCGGCCGTGCGCTGCCCTCCCGGGACTGTGCGCGGTCTGCCTTCACAAGTTCCTGCACCGAATAGGTGCCCCCCTCCCGTCGCGCGCTGTCTTGCCCAGGCGGCGCGTGGACCTCCTCTCCTCTGCCATTCGCTGCCCTCCCCAGACGGTGCGTAGCCCTCCTCGGCATTCACAGGTGAATGCGCCGTTGATTTGCCCCCAGACCAGCCATGCGATGCCCTCCGCCCACGGCGCGTGGCCTCCACCGGCCTTCGGCCACAGTTAATCCCCACCCGTGGCGAACCACATGCCAGGCTTCACAATGGCGGCGCCACCCGCCGGGCAGCAACGCCGCCGGTGCTGGGCTCCTGGGCGCCGCCGCCCCGCCTGCTGTGGGTTTCCCTCAGGCGGGGCGCTCCTCCCTTTCGCCCTCCCTTCCCTCCCTCCCCCGCGCGGTTCCCTCCCTCCCTCCGCGCGCCGCCATGGCGTCGCTCGCTGCCGCCCCGGCGCGCAGCTCCCCTTGGTAACGGTGCCGCCAGACCTGCGCTACGACGCACAGCATTCTGTTGTTGGCGGTCTGAAACCTGGACTGCACTTCGCGTCACTTGCTTTACCTAGTCGTCCCGTTCATGAACGCCTACACTGTCATAGAACCTACTCTTCCGCGTAGTGGGCATCGACAGCGCCCGTGGATGCACCGACGCTGTGGCTCGGCCGCTGCCGCGGTCCTGCTGGCCGCGCCAGCGCGCTCGGGGTGGAACTCCTCCACATCTGAATGCCATCCGCCCCCCTCTCTGCGGCCGCCTTGTCTATCTTGCCCCCTCCTCTTGCATGCTGGCCAATTCGCCTTTCGGTTGCCCCGAAACGCTTCTCGCTAGTGCAATATACCCCTGCCACGCCGCCGACGGGAAGAATGTGGGGGGGGGCACCAGGTAGTTGGTGCAAACAACGGGGTCACCCAAGACATGCTCCAAACAACTGCTGTTAACACAACAATGCAGGATACTCTGAACCATCTTGGCCCTGAAGGTCGGGGCCTCGGGAGCACTCACAGCCATCCCAAAACGCAGGGTAAAAGCATGTCGCTTAATACAAGTGGGGCTGTTACCGAAGCCGCCTGCAATAGTTATGGGGATCCGATGGGCCCCTTGGACGATCGCAGCAGCTGCGAGCAAACGTAGGTTAGACTGATTCACGCCTGCGCTGACCTGCAAGTGGATGAGAAGGAAGAGGAGGGCGAGGAGGAAGGGAAGGAGGGGCAGGAGGGGGAGGGGGAGGAGGTGGAGGGTGAGGGGGGCGGGAAGAGGGGAGAGGACAGGAAGAGTGGAGCATGAAAAAGAGGAAGGGGGAGGACAAGGGGAAGGAAAGGGTGAAGAAGGTCGCACAACCCCACAAAACATATAATTGCACGCATGCTACTTGTCAGCATACACAGATAAGAGACAACAACTTAAACATGATATCGCTATACATGAATAAAAGTATGCGAGCCAGAATTGCATGTATATGTGTGAACAAAGATGTATACGAATACGCGCATACGTGTCAACATGTGTACATAGGTGTATGACTGTGTGTAAAATACATACATGCCAACGTACACATACATTGTAGACGCACACAACATATATGCATATATACACATACACATATGACATATACATACAGCAGCACACATACGTATACATCAACACGTAGTCTATTAAAATGAAGCGTTCCAGCAATAGCCTTGCCTTAGAGTATCGAAGGAGTTGTCATCTTTTCCGCCGCCGAAGACGGCGGAAGGGCGGCGGAAGATCGGCGAAAGTGAAACGAAGCCGCCTCCGCCAGCGCAAGGCTGACAGAAGGCGACGGAAGTAGAAGACGCGCCCCCAAGAGATGAAACAGCTGTTGGGTTCTGGGTATCCGAAATCGCTCATGTATGTATATGATATGCTGTATGTGCAGGTGCAACAGAAAAAAACAAAAAACAAAAAAAAAAAAAAAAAAAAAAAAAAAAACTTGGAGAACGGGTCGCCCCCCGCTCGCGCGCCTCCTCTTCGTCACACGGGGGTGTCTCGTCGGCCAGCTGGCTCGCCGTCTTCGTCTCCGTCCGGACGAGGGACATCGCGTAGCCTGTGAGGTGATCATCCTCCATGGTGATGTTGATGGTGTTCATACCTGAGCGGGTGGGGTGGAGGAAGCAACGCAGAGGCATCGATAGACCACTATCCTACCTGGCCGCGGTCAGACATGGTGGTGGCGATGTGGTTGGTTTTCGAACACGAGAACGGATCATCCAATCATGCCTGAGATTCAAACCTGTTGTTGATGATCAATCATTTTGTTATTGATGTTGTTGTTGATGCTCAGATGTTGCTGCTGTGGTTGCTGATGTTCAAACAGGTTGTTCATGTTCAAACATGAGTGTCCTCGGCCTTCGAATCTCGAGGATCCTCGAGCCTCGGGCTCTCGAGGGGAGGAGCCGGGCGAGAGATGTTTGCTTCTGCTGGTCGCCTGGTCTCAAGCCCGCCGCTATGTCCTTGGGGATGTCCCGCCGCACGTGCCCCTCCTCGGGCTCCTTGACGGAGAAGACCTCGGAACCGTTGGCCTCAAAGCTGAGCTTCCTCGGCCACACCTGGGCGCAATTGTCGCTATCTATCTTCACCATTCTCATGAAGATGGCCTGGTCGTCCTTCCGCCACGCCTTCAAGTCTGGCAGGTCGAGCGAAAAGGCAATCTGTCCTCGCATGACGATGTGGCAGAGGAGGATCCCATAGGGCTCTACCACCGCATTGAACGGGTCCATCTGCCTGAAGCGGCACACTGGGCACCAAAAGTGATCCGCACTCTTCGAATACCCAGCGTGCTGCAGGTCGTAGTCGCATCCGCATGATGTGCACTTCAAATACTTCGGGGTCGGTCTCCCTATGCAAACAGGGTCGCTGAGCGGCGAGTCGGGCCCTTTGCCAAGCTTGTTTCTGAACGAAACGACCGCCTCGTACCGCACGCCTCGACAGCAGGAATGAGAAGGGAGAGGGATCAGGAGAGAGTGAGGGAGACAGGGAGGGGAGGAAGAGACGAGGAGGGGAAGGGGGGAGGGAGGAGGGAGGGAAGAGGGAGGGAGAAGAGAGGAAAGAGGGAAGAGGGAGGGAGGAGGGAGGAGGGGACAAAAAGAGGAGAGAAGGACGAGGAGGAGGAGGAAAGGGAGGGGGAGGAGGAGGAAGAGAGAGGATGAAGAGGGGAAGAAAAGGATGAAAAGGAAGATTGAGGAGGAAGCGGGAGGAGGAGGAGGAGGAGGAGGAGGAGGAGGAGGAGGAAAAGGCATGTGGAAGAAGAAGGACTGTGAGGAGGGGGGGAACAAGAAGGGATTGGCGAAGAGGGAAAAAGGAACAGGAGGGGTGGATGAAGGAGGAGGAAAGGGAAGAGGAGGGAGGAGGAGGGGGAGGGGAAGGAGGAAGGAGGAGGACGGAGTGGAAAGGAGTGTCCTGGCTCCATGTTCAGCAGGTCCACCTCGATGGCCGGAGAGGGGACGGGCTCGGGCTCCTACCGCCCGGCCAAGAACGCCGTGGATCACCCAAGGGGGGGGCGAGGACCATCAGGGCGAGATAGCGGGGAGCAGGAGGGAGGGAGGGGGGGGGGGATAGAGGCGGTGGAGGAAGCGTTGGCCCCCCCCCCCCCCCCC